CATCATGAGATGCCAAAAGTGCGCGCTTTTAATGATCACGGTCATACTAACGTTCTCATATCCGCCATATCAAAGATGTCAGGCCATGCATGCAAGTCGGAATATTACATGTCGTACGCAGATGCCAGGTACTTCAGTTTTTACAAATCAAAATTGCGTTCAGGTACATATGCATGTATCTTACTCATGGAGATATATACGAACACTCTCAAATGAAGGATCGAGCCAAAAACTCAATGTGAACCATGTTTTGAGCTACTTGCTTAAGGCGTGCTTGCTGTCGCAATACAAACTAATGCAAAAAGCAATTGATCAGGTTCCCCATCACTCCTGTGCTGAACCCTGCGCTAGTTCATCCCAGCTTTCTCGCTTCAAAGTCCGGCTTGCCGCTGCTTACAGACTTCTTTTCGGGGACAGCACTCCCTTCACTAGCTGGATCACAGACCTAGCCCGTGGGATGCCGTGCAATTGAGCCAGACCCTCTCAGGGAACGACATTCCCGCAGCGTGTTTGGCTAGTAGTGAAGTTCTTCGAACAATCCAACCGTAGGGCGCCGTCAGCCTTTCACTGAGGGATTGTGAGCTACGAGCTTGGAGCCCTTAAAAGAAAACAGTCGGACTGTATTCTCATATGCAGCGCTCTGGACGTCTTCAATGCTACGGCCACTTTTGTCTGCAACAAGTTGCAATATCTGCAATCGAGCGGCACTCCGTCAGCTCAAAATCGGCGGCGGAGATCCGACCCGGCAGATGAAGTTGGAGCGGAAAAGCTAGAGAACTCAGAAGCGGAACGGTTTGAGGGGTTCGAAACCGTCTTTTTAGCCTCTTTCGACCATTTTGGGAAAGCGTCTCAGCCAGAGGCTAAGCGCTGCCTGCAGAGCTCGGGGATGCAGCAGATTATGGCGTTCACCTCCGGCGAGCAGTACAAGAAGCATGCCAGTAGCGCGAGGACCCTTTTTCTCGACGAAACAAAGCTGTGGTATAGGAGAAGCGACCCATGCTCAAACGATGACGAGGGAGACTGAGCAACACGGAATCAGAACACCGACCTTAATGCAATATGATCCGAGCGATTCAAACCCAGACGTCAAGACGTTGCGGTCGGACCTTCAACTTGTGACTGTAAGTTGAATCTCAATCAGTACTCTGGCCCTTCTCCACAGCCAAAGCATGTGCCGCACGCCCGTTTCAAAACCCCTTTAGAACAACGTTCTGGGTCCCTCTCAGCAACACTTGCATATCTGTGAAGGTGCTGCTCGCTTGACCAAATCTGTCAAGTCGCTTAGGAGGTAAGACGCTGCGAGCCAGATCCTCACCGCACGCAAGTTCGCAGGATGGTTCAGCTTCTCCTCTTCCGTTCTCCTTTCTTTGTCCCGCTCTCGCTCGCCCCCCGAGGGACTCTTTCGTGGGCTCTGGCTAAAGTGCTCGCCGCTCTTGGTGGCGACCTCTCCGACCAGCTGCTGGCTTGCGTTGTCGCCACAAGAGCAGCCGGGGGAGTCGCTCTGACCGGTAGAGTCGCTTCGATCGCTCGGGGATCCGGACGAGAGGGGCGTCAGGATGGACGGGTCCGCGTCGGGGAAGGCGTCCGGGGAGTCCGTCTCCAGTAGCAGCCGGTCGAGCGGAATCTGCGGAGGAGAGCGGCGTCGGTATCCTTACGTGAAATTAAACGAGAAGCAGACGGCTTACAGATCGTCATCAAGAGTTGCGCTGTCCTCAGAAGTCACCACCTCAGGCGGGCGTGTGTTTCACCATATCCGTGCTATCTGCTGCGACAGCCAAGCCTGCCCAGTTTACGCACACGACTCTTTGACAGGTGGACCGCACAACGTAGTTCTAACAAGCGGTCTGTAAAACCCTGCTGGCGCAAAATTGCACTTTCATACTGCATGACGACGCCATCAGTCCATGAGCGGTCTGGCGACCTGGCGCAGCATCCTGCCTGCCCCTCGCTCGCACGAAGGAGACCCATATCGCACTGGTGACATCGTCGTCCCGTACGCGACCTAGCTGACCTAGGAGAGAAGCTTGTTGACCTCGGTTATCTGCTAAATAAAGCAATCTCGTTCTGAGCGGTCCGTTAACCTGGCGGAGCATCGTCCTGTCAACCAGGCCAATTTTGCTCACCAGGAGAACCCCACAACGCACGTAAAAATTAGGCCGTCCCGTGATCAACCCGCTGACCTGACAGAGAACCCGTTGGGCTTCCACTTGTATGGTAAGAGGAGAGCAATGGATTTGTGACGTCAACAGATGTTCAGGGGCCCGCTGACCTGGCGCACACCCGTCGACCTTCTTGATCACCAGAAGGACCCAGATCGCACAATTGCAACAACCATCCAGTAAGGGATCGGCTGACCGGCAGAGAAGCTCCTCAGCTTCCTCTTCAGTACGCGAGAAAAGGCCCTATAAATTGGTTATGGCACTTTACACCGAGCGGCCGACTAAAGCTGTCGCAGTATCCTGTCAACCTCGTCGTTCACCAGGAGGAACGAATTGCGCACGATGATGCACCATCCCGCAAGCTGGCAGAAAACCGCGTTCAACTCAAAGTAAATGCTAAACGACACGATGACGTCATCGAGCGGTCCGCTGACCTGGCGCAGCATCTTGTCGGCCTTCTTGCTGGACATGCCGGTGATGAAGCCCGAGATGGAGAAGTAGGCGTTCAGGGGCGCGAGCGCTTTCACCATCTCGGCGGAGCCCATCCAGGAGTGCAGGAGGACGCCTGCCGGGAAGGGGCCGATTGACCTGAAAAGCGAAACAGATTCCATGATTGGGTTTGACGGTTTTATATGTTAGGGGTACAGATGTGTGACTTCAGTAGTTTGAACGGACAGGGATTCAGCCAAGCGCTGTGACACTAACAGCGAGCCCAATGCAGGAGGACGCCGGCCGGGAAGCGGCCGACCGACCTGGAAAAGCGAGGAAAGAATCCACTACGTTAGTTTTAGCGATTAGGATTTGAGGGTTGGGATTTGTGACTTTTGAAACCAAATGGACAAGATTTGGGGCCAAGAGCCGTGACCATCTCGGCGGAGCCCATCCAGGAAATGAGGAAGACTGCCGACCGGGAAGGGGCCCACTGACTGAGAAGCCATGAATGTAAAGAGGTTCTCGAAGGGAGTTCGAAAGTTTCGATGGATCGGACAAGGCTGGGATTGAGCGCTGCGCCATCTTGGCAGCGCCTCAGTCACGAGCGTAATGGACGAAGCCGAGTGGAGGACAAACTGCCGAGAAAGGGGCCCCGCTTGCACAATGAGCGACGAAGAAGTGGCCTAGAGAAGGCAAAGGAATCCACTCCTCGAAGGAGGTGTCACTTATGGAGTTCGGACCTAAAGTTAGGGCCAAGGGCTGAGAGATCAAGTGAAAGCCGTTCGATTGTGTAATTTAAACCGGCCATGGGCAGTGTAAGTCTGGTTTGGGGCTTAGTGTTGACGCATGTACGACGCTGAAAGAGCGGATCCACGAGCGACTGACGAAGTACAAACGTAACGAGGTGAAAGAGGAGAACCAAGCAAAGACTTTTCGGTAAGGATTTGTGCGGACTAGTAAAGGTGTGATAGACGAGATCAGGAGCTGCCGCCGGAAAAGGTGCAGAATTCAAGGAACCAACGAGGAGATGCTCGAGGCTCAGAATTTGACAAAGTAAAGTGATCAAGCATCCCTCCTTTACACTCATGGGCGGCCGAGACAGGTCTTGTTTATTCCACTAAGAAAAGGGAACAGACCGAACGTCAGTGCCTCCCCGTTGAAGACAGAAGACGGGATACCTCGCAACCGCATGCGCAACGGAGGTAGTCGAAGGGCAGAGCTCACTTGAGGACGTCATGCAGCTCTCCAAAAGCTCGAACGCAGTGGATGGAGACGGGCCGCTCGAGGTCGCGGGCCAGCTCGACCTGCGCCCTGAAGACTTCGACCTGGAAAAGACACGTAACTTTTGAGTGGTACTCCTAGATTGGTCGGATTGTGATGCAATGACTCTAAGACAAGAGGAGGGATGGTGGCGCTTTGACAAGCGCACAAGTGAAGCAGCTCGCACACTCACGATACTAAACTGGACGAAAAGTTGTGTAGCCAATGTAAGCAGCTCTTGGAGTAAGGAAGAAAACGATGGCCAGACCGAGTGAAGACAAGTGAACAAGTTGATCAGTGCTAGATAGGAGAGGCGAGGCACCAACTGAGAATGAGGCGGCTTTGAACCTGCCTCTCAGTTTCTTGAAAGGCAGGTTGCAGCGAACCCACCTGCTCTTCAATTGGCACCTCGCTCCCCTTCCTGCCTTTGTCTAGTCCCACCTGCATGAGTCAGGGTGTCATCAGAGATCTGATTAGTAAAAGCGTGTTCATGAAATAGAGCGAGTATGTTGTCCAACAAAAAGCGATAGCAACCCTGTTGCAAAACTGTGGAAGTGAGTCAGCTAAGAAAGGGGAGGCAGGATACATCCAAATGTGTTTGGAGTCCGATCAACTGCGCTACACAAAAACTTAGTTTCCATTCCCGTCAACTCTTGTTTGTAGTCAACCTGACAGAAGGAAGCACTCACGTTCAGAAATTGGAGATCAGCCACATAATTACTGTTTGCTGGTTATTCTGCAGTTGATCAGGGTTTTCCTGGTCGGTCAGAGCTAATCGTGACAAATGGATGTTATCCTTAACAATCCTTAACCATCCTTGTCCTCACCTCACCTATAGCTGCTTCAGGCACTTGTTCAAGGCGCTCCCGGAGCGCCTCCAGCCAGTTGGGGCTCCTCTGACCCACGTACCAGGGATGGAGTCCGAGGTTTGGCAGCAGCTGAGGGTAGTGCTCGCACAGAGCCCGCACTTTGTCCCAGTCATCCTACAATGCTGGTTAAGTGGGGGGTTAAGTAGGGGGTTTGTAAAAGTTGAAAGCTTTGGGCAAGCTGGATCACTTTAGATCCATGAAGGGTGGGCGGACAAATAGCTGCATACAGGGGCCGTGTGCGAGAAAGGAAAGAGTTCGTCGGACGAGTTGATAGAAGAAACAAATCAGCAGTGTTGTCTCAGAGTGCTCTGGGCATGTCGAATCACCTTGAAACGAAGAGCAGATGAGATTGAGTTTCTGAAGCAGAAGGTCATTAGGCATTGGAGGGAGTGGTGATGTGTGATCTATGAATGGACTCAGCCTGAGTCAACTTCTTCACCAAAAGTGACAAAAAGTATTTGTCTGCAAATGACAAGTTGGGACGCAGACAGTCCAAAGTCCCAACCTGGGGCACCCTTTTCCAGCTCAAAACTTTCATTCAATGCTGCTGCATGCAGATTCTCCATCAGGCGCTTTGTTCAGCTCACCTCACTAGTTCCATTCACTGCACACCACCTGACGCCAGCACCAGAGGCCAGTTTGAGAACTTCGTCTATTTTACCATCCAGTCTTGGGTCTTGCAAATGACAGTGCGCGTCAAAGAAGTGGGACCCTCTGTCTTCCATGTTGTGACCCTTGTGTGTCAAGTCCTGGGCCAATTTTGCAAGGGTTAATGATTGCCTAGCTGAACGAGGCCTCTGCCGTTCAGCCTGGCGCGGCCAAAAGATTGCCTTCGCCCAAAGCAATTGGCCGTGCGGTAGAAAGTTAGCAATTGGGTGAGATGCTTTGCAGCACTGATGGAGGAATGCCACGCCACTCGGAAAGTGGCACGAAACAGAGGACATGGAGGATGCTGCAGCATCCAGGGCCCATCAATAAGCTGCCCCACTCAGCTCCGCAAATGTCATCTTCTGCAGGAAAAGCTGCTGAAGAGCCGCAGCAATAC